TCGTGGAATTCCAGAGAGGTAGAGGTTAAACAGTGCCGGAGATAACACCCCTCTTTGGGGAATTCCCTGTTTAACTCTCACGTACGTGAGAGATAAGTAGGTCCTCCGGTTGGATTTAAATTGATCTCCTGGGAGATAATAAAATTGGTTTTCTAGAAGAGGGCTAATAGTGGTCTAGTGATTGACTAATTTGTCTTTTAGTAGAAGATAAATTTAGATTCTAATAGTAGACAGGTGGGGCTACTAACAGAAGGCAATTTTGTCTTCTTATTACATTTAGTCTTCTAAGAGATGAAAAAATGGAAAGAAGAAGAAAAAATTGGCTTCCCATAGAAAAAGAAAATAATTAGATCTTCTAGTAGAAGACAAATTTGTCTACAAACAGAAGACAGATTGCTCTTCTAGTAGAAGAAAGGTTGATCTTCTTGTAGAAGACAAATTGGCGTTTAAGTGAAAAACACTCAATAGAAGACGAATTGGTCCTCTAGTAGAACAGAAATTGGTCCTCTAGTAGAAGACAAATTGTTTTTCAAGTAGAAGACATATTAGTCTTCTAGTATAAAACAAATTGGTCTTCTAGCAGAAGACTAATTTGTTTCCCAGTAGAAGACAAATTGGTATTCTAGTGGAAGACAAATTGGTCTTCTAGCAGAAGACTAATTTGTTTCCTAGTAGAAGACAAATTGGTTTTCTAGTGGAAGACAAATTGGTCTTCTAGTGGAAGACAAATATTCGTCTTCTAGTAGAAGACCTAATTATTTTCTGTTAGAATTCTAATTTTTTCGCCTATTGGAAGACCAATTTGTCTTCTACTAAATGACCAATTTGTATTCTACTAAAATACCAATTTGTCAATTTGCCTTCTACTAGCAGACCAATATGTCTTTTACTAGAAGACCAATTTGTCAATCTGCCTTCTACTAGCATACCAATTTGTCTTCTACTAGCAGACCAATATGTCTTCTACTAGAAGACAAATAGATCCTCTATTGGAAGACAAATTTCGTCTACTAAAAAAGACAAACTAGTCTTCCAGTAAAAGACGAATTTTGAATCCCAGTAGAAGACTCATTTCGACAATTACTATTAGATAACTTTTTATTAAATCCATAACTTTTATAACACAATTTTCACTCATAACCACACATTGTGAAAAATAAATATATGAAAATTAAAATAGTCTATATAGTACATATATAAAAAGTATGTAAAAGAGTGGGGGTTGGGGGAAGATTTCTTTGCTATCAAAATTATATCACTTTCATTGAGTTTGTCACCACTTTGTTTTTTTTTTTTTAGTTTTTGTTATACGTAAAATATATTCACTATAATTTATATAAATTTTTTTTTACAAATTTTTCTAAAGAAAAGCACTTTTTGTTTTTTACTTTTTTTGTTATACAAATAGGTATGTGTTGACACGTTTTTATATATATATATATATATATAAATACATACATTTAGAGATAAGAGAGAGCGAAGAAAAAAAATAAAATTTTAAAAAATATAAAAAGTTTTTTTTTTGTTTTTCGTTAAGCTAAAAATACGTTTTCGTTTATGCATTAGAAAAAATGTATAATAATAATATTAAAAGGAAATGCATTTAAATATATTTGTTGTAAAAAAAAAAAACTTTCACATGTATATATATATGCAATGGAAATTTGTGTTATAATTATTTATATAGGTTTTAAAAAAATATGTATATAGTATAGTTAAAAAAATACACACAAAAAATATATAAATTTCAAATGATATTATTCATAGGCGATTATATTACACAGTAGTTTAGTTTCTTTAGAATTGTTTTTTTTTCATAGATATTTCATATATTTTTTTATTATACAATTTTGTTTTTAGTACATACACTATGTTAGAAGTTATTTTTTTGTTTTATTTTAGTAATTTTTTACATAAACATTGTTTTTTATTTACGATTTGTTTTATTTTTGTAATGGAAATGCATAATTTTTTCACCATTTTGTGGCTAAGCTAATGTTGTTGTTGTCGTTTTTTTTTTATTTTACACATTTACATAGAAACACATAGATTGTTTGTTATTGTTTTTGTATATAATATGTATTGTATGTATATATATATATATAGATTCCGTTTCGTTCACTTAAGCTATGCACATTATTATTATTATTACCACTAATTATATATATATATATATATATATAATATAAATTTCAATAATATATTTTATTTAGAAAAAATATATTTGAATTAATTAAAAAAATTGATTTTAGTTATATATGTAGGGGTTTTTTTTTATAGACAAAGCATTTGTCTTTATACACATATATATAGAAATTTTTATGTATAAATAAAATCATTCATGAATTATATTATCTATATAGACTTTGAGACATTATGAATATGGGCTATACATTAAAATTTTTTGTTTGTGTGTTGGGGATCTTCAAGCATTCGTTTAATGTGTGGCGAGAGGAGTCCAGATTTGCAGAGGTCATACGAAGATTTTGAAATACTTTTTTTATGTTGTCATAAGGAGGCAATTGGAAATCGTGATTGTTTGCAGGTAATCCATAAATTGATGTCATCCATCCAAGGTGAATAGTGAACTGCAAAAATATAAATTAATTTATTATGATTGTCATTAAATGATTGGGATTATAAAAATAAAATAATTAGTTATAAAAAATGATTTAAAAAAAATCATAATCTACAAGGCAAAGGTGATGATTACGAGGAAGATCACAAGTGAAGCCCTTTCTCAGGGTAGTCAGAATTGAGAGAAACTTCTGGCCATGAATCCGTTCAGTTTGATAAACCCTCAAATGATGGAAACATTTCCGGAATTGTCCTAATTAATAATCGGAGGGATAAAGTGCTGGCGGAGCAAATTGCAGGGTGAATGAGGAAAAGAAAGCTGATTGAAAATACTGTCATGGTAAAATTTTTTGGTCGGAAACTGTTATCCATAGACCATTATATTCTGTGGACGCTTAATTTGAGCCGTCCAGTTGTGAACAGCCACATTTGATGCTCATATTTTCATTGTTCATTTGATGAATAATAGGATTCGACGACACGAATGCCGTCCAGAGGTTGTGGATTATCTGAAAGTTAGAGGTCGAACAGTGGGGCGAACTCTCTGTTTCGCTCTGCGGGTCTTCAACTTCCTTTGTCTAATTTCCTCGTGTGACTGGCGTCTACACATTAAGTTCATTATCCTCGCCATTGTTGACGGTATCGAATACTTTCTTTTCGCCACAAAAACGGTCCGGTTGCTCGGTCTGCTCGGGTTCAGACCTCTACTAATATGTGTGAAAATGGCGTGAAATGATTTCATAGTACTATGCATTTTACGGAAGCCATATTAATTTTGCTGTGGATTTGGTACTGTTATCGTCTCACATATGGCATCAATAATACGACTTGACGTCACGAACGCCGTCCGGTATATATAGAAAATCAGAAAGGTAGAGGTCGAACAGTTCCCCCCACATTGTCAAACTCTCTGTTTCGCTCTACCGGTCTTCGATTTCTGCGTCTGATTCTCTCATATGTCTGGCGTCTACACATATCCTTGACATATCGAATACATTCCTTCTGTCACAATAATGGTTTGGTTGAACGATCTGCTCGGCTTCAGTCCTCTACTAAAACGTGTAAAAATGGTGTGATTTGTTCTCGTAGTACTGTGCATTTTACGGAATACCTATTAATTTTGCATTACTCCAAAACTGTGCCTCAAGCACCATTCATCACTGCTGGCATACCAGATAGGCTTTTTGTAGATGACAAATTTCTCGTTAAGCGTTGAAAGCAATCAGAATGGTTCCGCACCTGAAGGTTGGTAACCCATAAAGTTTCTAAAGCGTGAAAAATATTCAGGTTCCGCTACTGAAGGCTGGCAAGAATGCGAGCAGCGCTGAACCGTACAGGCCGATTTCATGTCTGTCGCCAATAGTCACTTGAGACACTACTCTTTACCATCAATGAGAATCGATTTGCAGTACCAACATGGATTCCGTAAAATGCACAGTCCTACGACAGTTTTGCACGAAATTTTCACACATATTAGCTGACCATTCATTTTTTTTATACTGCTCAAGGATATAGATACGGTTGGTCGTGTTTGAAACGTTGGATATAGTGGACATCATTCATATGTGGAAGTCATAGAAGACTCGTAGAATGAAACAGGGAACTTCTACCATTTTGATATTCCACAACAACCAGACTGCATAGATATCGTTTATTATTCGATCATGGCATCGGGTCCCATTATTGGTGAGTTTATTCCATCTGAGGAATATCATCAGGAGGAATATTCGACATTAAATCCAATGTCACACTTCACATTACCATTTTGCTCCTGTTCAATGTAATGGTGGATGAAGAGAACAGATTCCGACCACCAATTGCCCTAAGATGTTGAGTGCAAAGTTCGACAGCCTTTTCATGTCGTCTACGCAATCCTCTGTTATTTGCGATAAGCTTAGAAGTAGGAGTAGGTAGGTCCTCAAGTTGCTGGTTGGCAGCTCTTGGGACATTTTAAGATTTTTAAAATAGAAATACATGTTTATTACATACCTTTTCAAAAATTCTCTATACCACGGGGTATTTTTGCAATTCCAAGATACAAATAGAAAATTGATATAATTTTGTTCAGGACCACTTGCAACAGCATACTATTACCACCACCACATAGAAACGATAATGCCATGAAACCATAGGCTGAGCAATGAAATGAAAGAGCAAAGTATAGAACCCCAACATGCTGATCGATTTTTTTATCTTCGTGATAGTGAATTGTCCAATGGCGACACACAGGGGAGTTTTGGCGCTTAAGACAAATCATATCACTAAGTTTTGTGTCCAGTTATTATTTCACCATGCACTGGTAAAATATTAAGACAGCGGATGACGCACCACTACCCAGCCGTAGACAGGTGGTGGTGTTTGGTGTATAAACAGCAAATTACCAGCTTCTCATTCTTATCCGTCCTCAGTTTTCTCCTTTCTCCTTAGCGCATAAACATTTTAACAAAAGTGGCAAATACGAATGTAAAGAATAAAAATGATAACATAAATATGACGGCCTTTTCTTGATCGGTGAAACGTTTGCGATTCGTATACACCGAGCTAAGGCGATGCACAAAACGTCTGAGGACACTGCCGCCGCCGTGATGTTGATTGTGACGTTGCTGATTATCCAAAATGTGCTGATGATGACTTATGGCAGCTGTGGCTGCCTGCAAGAGAATGGGATTATTGGCAAATAATTGATTGGCGGCACTGGCGGCCAATAATGTGGCCGTATTGGCATTGGATCTCTGAGCCGACGACACTGGACTATTGTGCTGATGATGAGAGCTGCCACTGCTGCTGTTGCCGCTGGCAACTCCGTTGTTGTCATGGAAGGCATGATGATGATGGTGGTGATGATGATGATTGTGATTGGGATCATCACAACCGCTAAAATTGGCTGCCAATTCATTGGCCACACTGCCAATGGGTATGAAGCCCATGGCATTTGTGCCTATAAGTAAGGTATTATTGCCCGATGCTGCTGCGGCATTATTATGTTTACTACTGTTGCTGTTGGCCGAAACGGAACGATGATGTAGACCGCTGGATGTTGTTGCTAAACTATTATCACTGTGTCGGCTGTTGTGATGCGCATGTACGGTCGCGTGATGGTGATGCAAATGTGAATGATGATTATGCGAGTGGCCATGACAGGTGGCTGCACCGCCCTCGGTATTTGCCCCAGCAGCATTGAGACTAGCAATCATCGTTGCAGCGGCATTGGTCAAGAGATTATCATCGATTTCTTCAAGCGGTGGTATTAGCGGTACCACATAACGGAATGGTGATGTAAATGCACCGAATAGATCTTCGCCCGTGCTGGTGACACGTATGGGGCATACACGAAATTGATATAGGCCTGCTGGTTCCAAGTTTTCAATTGTAAATTTGGTCTCACTACCACGGTAGATCTGAGAAGATGAAAAGACAGGGGGGGTTAGTAACCATATTAAGTAAACAAAAAAGGTGTTATCTTACCATTTTAAAATTACCATCTTTGCCGATGGCATACTGCAGCATATATTCCACACGATCGCTAAACGAATTCTTAGAATGTTGCCACTCGAGGGTGAGCGGTACACCCAACATTAGATTACCCAAACCCGTGGGATAGCTAGGTGTTTCGGGTATAAGACCTGAGGGTATGACATTAGCATTTGATGGTGTATTACCTCCCGTTATTGTCGACGTCGTCGACGATGTTGTTGTATTGGTATTCACCGTGGCCACAGTGCCGCCAGTCGCACCACCCAATGCCGGGTTTAGATTTTGAGCAATGCGCGGTGCCTTAATGCTACTCGGAAAACAGGGGGTTGTGGTGAAAACATATTCCTCGGAATATTCACCCACACCGGCACGATCATTTCCCGCACAAATTCGGAATTTATAGCATGTACGTTCCTGCAATTTATTCACCTTACACATACAGTTCGTACCGGTGTAGACAACCTGAAATTCCTTTGCCCTCTGCACGTACATTTCCACATAGAATTTGGTGAAGTCCAGATTTTTACCATCACCCCATTTCAGTTTTATGAAATTATGACCCACCCCGGAACATTCCAATTTCGGTGGTGAGGGTGGCGAAGGCAATGTTGTCAGTTTGGCATATGCAGAGAAGGGACCCGAGCCAATTGCATTAATGGCCTGTACCTTGAATTTATAGGAGGTTTCCGGCTGCAAATTGATAACCGTGTATTCGGTTTTATCGTCAGGCGTAGTTATGGTGGTTACATTCGACGGTGCACTGTTGTATTCAATGGTGTAGTTAATGATGGGTGAACCATTGTTTTCGGGTGTGGACCAGCGAAGAGTGGCTTCATTGGAGGTAAATTCAAAGTCTTTGATTTGTGGTGGTGAGGGGGCAGCTGCGGGTGTTTGACAATTAACCACGGGTGACCATTTGCTCATGCCAGCCACATTACAGGCATTTACACGGAAATAGTACCTGGTAAAGGGTAGTAAGTTCCGCAGGTCGGTACTACATTGCAGACCTTGATAGCATATATGGAATGCCGATGCTGGTGGGGGTTCGGGAATGGATTCTTCTTTTGAAGATGACGCGGAGGACGACGACGACGAGGCATTAGCAGTAGCACTTTCTAGACGATATTCCGATATGGCAGCCCCACCTTTATTGGCCGGCTCCTGCCATGTTACATGCAATTGTGTCGCCGATTTTACAATGACTTTCAGATTTTCCGGGTTATTGGGTGGGGCGGCAGCTGACGAAAATTCAAACCAGGGAGACCAACCACCGGCTCCAATGCGATTAACAGCTCTGGCCTGAACTTCATATTGGCATCCCGGCTGTAGGGCATTTACCACACAATAATCTTCTTTACCCCGATACGCCAATGTGGGTGGCTCTTGATCGCCTGGTCTACGAATTTGTACTTCATATTCTAGAATAGGAGCTCCACCATTATAATCAGGTTTCTCTAATCTCAGTACGGCTGCAAATGGAAGGGTGTAGTGTCAAAATAGGGTGCCGGAGGAGCAGCAGGTACTACAGCTTCAGAGGTTATGTGACCAATCTCTGAATAAGGACTAAATCCTCCGGGACCTTCACAGGAAGCTCTCAGTTGATAGGTGGTGCCGGGCTGTAAACGATCACAGTTTGTTTCACACTCAGCACCGGAATAGATGCGTTCGAATTTCTGGCCACCGGCATTTATTTCGAGATAATAACGCTGCACTTCAGCACCACCATTATCTGTGGGTGGCTCCCATCGTACACGAAAGTGGGTGCCATGAATTTTTCCCTTAGCATATGGTTTACCCGGACGACCAGGTCTTTCGGGTGCTGTCTTATAGGAAACTTCGGGCGACCATGCTGAGGGACCCGATTCATTTTCGGCCTTTAAACGGAAGTTGTACAATGTGGCTCTGCGCAGTTTACAGCATTCGTATGAGCAGTCTGGGCCATTGTAGACATTCAAATAACCATGACCGGATTCACGATCAAGCATTTGCAAAATGTAAATGCATGTGGCACCATCGCTTTGGCGTTTCTCCCACAGCAGACGGAGGGAGGAAGAGCTGAACGATTGTAGGGTGGGAGGTTTGGGGGCAGCCGGAGGATTACCTTGGGTAGTCACCGAACATATGGGAGAATATAGGGAGGGGCCGATTTCATTAACGGCCGCCAAACGGAAATGGTACAATGTGGATGGTTGCAATTTGGTGACAATGTACTGGCGACCCTTGGTTTTCACAGCCTCAACAAAATTAATGGATTTCTCCGCGCCATTGGCATTGGTCAGGGGTCCGGTTCGACCTTCATCATATTCCAGGATATAATGCTGGATTGGCGAACCATTACAGAGGGTATTGTTCCAACGCAAATGTAACGAATTCTTTGAGGACATTACCATCCTTGGGGCTGTGGGACGTTCCGGCTCACAGGCTGGTGTGCTAAATTCCACCGGCTCCGAAGGTGTGCCCTGCAAATGTTCATAGTGTACCTGCACACGTACCACATATTCTTGACCCGGTTTCAAATCGTGCAATACACAATCGAATGAGGAACCATTGTAGAAACTTTTAAATTTACATTCTTTTGTACGTTCACTGAGTAGGACATTGTAGCGCAACTCTTCCAAGTTGATTAGTTGAGAGGCCGATTCATTGATACTCTGCGGTATATCCCAGAGAATTTTCGCGGAACGTGGTGTTATTTCGGTGACTTCAGGTTTTTGAATATCCGATAATTGTTCCAGGATGGTTCCTTGGCAATCCTCTTCCTCTTCTAGTTGGTCGGGTGGTAGGCCATTTATGGCGGATGTGGCCACAAGATCGCCTTCACCTTCTTCGGATGAGGCATTTGAAGAGGAGGCACCTTGGTTGTTGGAATTAAAGCCATGACTGCTGCTAATGGTGTTGTTGTTGTTGGAAGGTTGGGAATTGTAATTACGCTGTTGATGGGATTTACGTGGTTGTTGCTGCTGCTGCTGCGGATTGGCATGTTGTGACCTTAAAGATCCATTGTGACCATTTATTTGTGGCTCCTGGCGTCTGGGTGATGGCGAATGATTGGGTGAAGAAACAACAGAATCTATAAAACGAAAATAAAAAGAGGAATGTAATCAAACTAGGATGAAAGGGGGATGAAGCAGTGGGTACTTACTATATTCTTGTTTCTTCTCCAACTTCCTTAACAATTTTTTATGTTGTCTTTGTGTCCTTTCATCTTTGTGATAAGTATTATTATTGTTGTTGTTCTGATTATTAGGTGGTGATGGCGAATGATTGGCGGAATGTGAAATTGGTGAATGTTGTTGCTGTTGTGTCGGTGTTGTATTCGTCATATTGGTCATTTGTTGCTGCTGCTGTTGTTGTGGATGTGCAGGTTGCGGTGTTGTTGGTTGATGGGGTGGTGGCGCCATATGGCCATGTGGATTGACAGGATAAGGCGCCGCAGCTCCTGTACCTGGTTGAAAACCATTTGGCATGGGGGCATAATAGTGGGTTGTACCATTGGCAATCTGAAAATGAGAGAAGTAGAAGAAAAACAATTAGTGATCGTATAGAAAGGAAAAGTATGTAATAAAACATCCGGAACTTCATTTACTCTTATTAAAATTGGTCCCGGAGTTCCGGGCGGTATGTGTATGTGATGCACAGGACATGGTGGCCGATGGACAACAGCATCAATTCGCTGATGTTGCTGCTGCTGCTCCATCATGAACTTGTCTCGATGACAGCTGACGTGTCTTCTCTCGATATAGTATTACGTTGAAGTATGACAGAAACAAAAAACCCCGACAGTGAACGGAAAACGAAAGCCTAAGAACCCCCAATGCGCCGCGTCGCACTCTCACGTAGTCTTCTTTATTTACTGATTCTGTATTATTATTTTTTATTTCTTATATGTGTGTGGTGGCAGCAGAATTGTTTATCTCGTCGGCATTCTTATCAATATCAGTTTGTTTTTGTGTTGTTTTTTATTCTTGGTATTCACTAATCAATTGTTGTTCAACAAATTGTTGTTTTGAGAGAGACTGACTGGGGCTGACACAGAGAGAGAGAGAGAGAGCGACAGCGAAGCAGAACAGTGCTGTTCATTAGTGTTGTCAAATGGAGTATGACAAAAAAGCGCCAAATCATTACTTGCCAAGAACAAATGTTCTTGCAGTTGGCAGAGGGAGAGAATGAGAGCATAGTACGTGAGAGAGAAACAGTGTAGTTAAGTGTAATCAATGAAAAAGCGCGCCATTTCCTTGAAAACCGTCAATTGTGGTGGTTTTTTGAGACTGTTATAGGATGGATTTATTTAAAATATATTTCCATTACGAGACGGGGATTTATTTAAAATATTTTTAAAGGGTAATAAAGATTGTGGGTTATTTAAAATAGTTTCATATATTTATAAAAAAATATATATTTTCAAAGTTAAATAGTATGCGTGGATTTTATAAACAAATTCTTCATTATTATTTCAATTTGGAATTTTTTGGATGTTTATTTTTTAAAGTTATTTTTATAAAATTGTTTTTAGTTTATTTTTTAATATAGCTCTCATTTTAAATTTCAATCTTCCTCATATTCATGTTTATCCCTTCTAAATGGGCCATCCATTGTATATCCAATCACTCGGTCAGAATTAAATTTCCAATCAATATTGTATTTGGATACAACGGTCGGCTTTGGTTGAATATCGTTTTAATTTGTGGCAACCACAAATTACGTGTATAGGTTCGGGATAGGGTGGTTGTGGTGTGTGTGTGTTTGTGCCCCGTGTATATAAATTGTGTGGTTAGAATTCATTTTCCTCTGTTCTTCCCGCACATAAGGTTTGACTGTATATTATTTGTTTATTTATTACCAGCGAAGTGTCCGCTACTTCGTATACGGAAAAGGGAATACAAAAATATACATATATATTTCATATGGAAATCATGAATATCGTATAATTTGTTGTACTATTGTTCTGAATTCCATCTATATTTCTATGTTCATCTAATATCATGTTTACCATTTAGTACTCTTCCTACACATAAGAACTATATCAGAATTCTAAATATATATTTAGTAAATACTAGAGTTGGGTAGTTCCGGAACGAACTAGTTCATTGGAACTATTCCGAGAAAAGAACGATCGGAATTAGTTCCAGCTATTTAATTAACATAGTTCATTTTTCTGATCTCGTTCTTTTTTCTTTTCCTTTTTTTCTCGTTCTCTTTTCCTGATCTCGTTCCTTTATTCCCATATTCTTCATTCGTTCGTATTTCAGATTGTGTAAATAGTTAAATTTTATTTTTTTGTTTTAAATATTTTTATTTATTTATAAAAAAAGTATTTTTTGCTTATCGTCCTGCAGTTGAATTCTTTAGCTTCATTTCATTTTCTCTTTTTTCTTCATTTTTGCACATTTTTCAATTTTTACATTTATTAACAAATCAACACGGAACTATGTGAGCGAAAAAAAAGAACGATGAAAGAGAGATATTGAAAGGATCTATGTGGAGCAAAAGTACTATATGGAGCAAAGGAGCTATATGGAAAAAACGAAAAAAAACATAAAAACGAATTTCCAAAGTTGTCTCTATACCTCAATCTTCAACAGCAATCTTAATTTCAGATTTTCAGCTCCATCCGTTCTCCCAAAATCCGCATTGTACAAAATTTTGTACTTTTGGCACCACCCTATTTTGGCACCAATCCTATTTTTACCCGAGTTTAATGGGCATGTTCAAAGGTGCCCCACCCATGACATTTTACGGAAATTTAAAATAACTTTTTTTGTAATAAATATATATGAAAGAAATTACATTAGCTTTGTTTGAAATGATTATTGGAATGCAAAAAATTTGTTTGACAAAAGAAAACTTTCACAGAATTCTTCCTGCGCCCTTACAACCAAATGAATAAAAGTTTACAATGACACTGAGAAAACATGGTCACCCATGCGCAATTTTTCGACAACTGAAAAAGCAAGCCAAAGTGGTTTACGCATATAGAGAACAAGATTGTCATATACAAAAATGTGGATGCGGGTCGAAAAAATATTAAACAAAGATTTTATGAGCGCTGTTCAAAGGTGCCCCACGTTCAAAGGTGCCCCCCTCTCCCCTACTAAATATAGTACCATTTTGCACTTTTTATATATATGTGTACTAATTTCATAAACCATTTCACATACATCAACACCACTTCCTAACCTTTATTCCATATAAAATTTCAAGATTCTAGCTATATATGTTCAATATATATATATATATATATATACAGTATCTGAAAGTGTTTTATTCGAGTACCTGCCCATAGGGGAACCTCGCAGTGGCTGAGCCATATGCGCCAACCAGCACCAAAGTGCTGTACCAATCGGAGAGCATGCAAAAGGCATACTCTCCCCCTTGGTGAGGGGCGAAACCACAACCCCCGCGAATTATACAATTAGTACTAAATCTTGTGTACATCTTTATAACATTCCATCAGTGAACCACATTCCAAATTTCAGAATTCTAGCTATTCACGTTCGCCTAATACAAAGGGTACCATATTTGGTACATTTTAGTACTTTTCATACTCTTCTAGTTCGAATTTCCACAAAAACCCAGCCTTATCTCACGCCTACACACCAACAACAACCCACTCTTAAAATTTCAAGCTTCTAACTTTTGCCGTATCGTCTGGGCGATGATCTGTCAGTCACTCAGTCACTTACTTAACACCAAGCTCTTTTATATATTAAGATTTCTTTATTGGGAAATATATATATATTCATAAATAAGAGGATATTCCCCATACAGAATTTAAAGTATTTTACTAGGAAACTTAAATAATGATTTAAATAAATTTTGAATCAGCTGTTCCATGGAACAGCTGATATTCATCATCTTTAAATATTCTCTCCGAAATTAAAATTCTGTTGTTCCAATTTGTTATTAACTCATCTGTTAAACATCAGCTGTTTCATGTGACAGCTGATTTAAAGTTTCCAAATCACTTTTTATACCCTTCACCACACTGTGGTACAGGGTATTATGTCTTTGTGCATATGTTTGTAACAGGCAAAAGGAAACGAGATAGACACATGGTTCCTTTTGAGAATATGCATAGAATCACTTTCTAAGTCGATTTATGCATGTCCGTCCGCCCGTCCGTCTGTCCATGTATTTTTGTGAGCAAAGTACAGGTCGCATTTATGATCCGAATTGGATGAAATTTGGCACAGCTCATTTGTTTGGCCCAAGGACGAACCCTATTGAAATTGGGAAAAATCGGTTCAGATTTAGATGTAGCTCCCATATATATATATATATATATATATATTTAACCGATTTAATGTAAACGGTCCCTATATATCTTTCGATTTGTACGAAATTTGGTACAGCCTAATCATTTAGGTCTAGAATGATGTCTGCCAAGTTTCGTGAAAATCGGTCCAGATTTAGATATAGCTCCCATATATAGTTTCGTCCGATTTCATGTAAATGATGCCCCAAAGTCCCTATATATCTTTCGATTTGCACGAAATTTGGCATAACGTATTGAATTGAGCCTAGAGTGATGTCTGCTAAGTTTCGAGAATATCGGTCCAGATTTAGATATAGCTCCCATATATAGTTTCGCCCGATTTCATGTAAATGGTGCACCAAAGTCCCTATATATCCTTCCATTTGCACTAAATTTGGCACAACGTACTGAATTGAGCCTAGAGTGATGTCTGCCAAGTTTCGAGAAAATCGGTTCTGATTTAGATATAGCTCCCATATATAGTTTTGTCCAATTTCATGTAAATGGTGCACAACAGTACCTATATATCCTTCGATATGCACGAAATCTGGGATAACGTTCTTAATTGAGCCTAGAATGATGTCTGCCAAGTTTCGAGAAAGTCGGTCCAGATTTAGATATAGCTCCCATATATAGTTTCGTCCGATTTCATGTAAATGGTGTCCCAAATCCCTAAATATCCTTCGATTTGCAGGAAATTTGGCATAACGTACTGAATTGAGCCTAGAGTGATGTCTACCAAGTTTTGAGAAAATCGGTCCAGATTTAGATATAGCTCCCATATATAGTTTCGCCCGATTTCATGTAAATGGTGCACCAAAGTCCCTATATATCCATCGATTTGCAGGAAATTTGGCATAACGTACTGAATTGAGCCTAGAGTGATGTCTACCAAGATTTGAGAAAATCGGTCCAGATTTAGATATAGCTCCCATATATAGTTTCGTCCGATTTCATGTAAATGATGCCCCAAAGTCCCTATATATCTTTCGATTTGCACGAAATTTGGCATAACGTATTGAATTGAGCCTAGAGTGATGTCTGCCAAGTTTCGAGAATATCGGTCGAGATTTAGATATAGCTCCCATATATAGTTTCGCCCGATTTCATGTAAATGGTGCACCAAAGTCCCTATATATCCTTCGATTTGCACGAAATTTGGCATAACGTACTTAATTGAGCCTAGAATGATGTCTGCCAAGTTTCGAGAAAGTCGGTCCAGATTTAGATATAGCTCCCATATAT